ACAGGATAGTTCTAGAAAACGGGTGGTGTGATACTAGTCACGTGATCTCGCTGACGCAACAATACAAATGTCAGTGTACATGCAAGTCCATAGGTTGGTGTTCACTAGCATTTTTCCTGAGAATTTGTAATTGCATACACGCATTTAATGCAAGTCCAAAATCAAAAGGAATTATGTATTAATAAGCAGCATGAGGTGAATGGTCACCTTCAAATTAATGTTTAAGATTACACCTTAATATAAAACCAACATTACATTAAAATAAAAAATTTATGTTAAGGTAAAGGTTTTATGATAGCTCTGCATCGACTGTACAAACTTCCTTTTTGTGTCAACAGAGTTCTAGTACCTTTTTTTCTATTTTGAAATTAAGCACTGATTACAGTTAGTCTACATCAACTAAAATAAATCAAATTTCCCTCTGCAGAGACTGTAGTTATTGATGGAAATGTGGCATATTATATGCCAAGATCAGAATTGGAATACAGTGACTTTTAAATTAGCATGTTGTAAGGAAATATCTTAGTTTCAAAGATATAATGTTGAGGCATACCTTAACTTTCTATTCTAAGTTAACATTATTAAAACACTAAACAGTACTACTATTAGGCAATGTGTGGATAGGTTTACAAATTACACTAATACTGAGTAGAAAGTAGACTGCTAGTGTTAATAACAGTGCTATGATAATTAATAAGTTAATAAATATTCCTATGGCTATGTCAGAAGGTTGGAAATTTGCTAATGTTACTCATTCTTTCAAAGATGGTGATGAAAATTTTCCCAGTAATTATAGGCCTATTAGTCTTACATCAGTGATGGCAAAATTTTTGAAAGCCTGATAAAAGATGCTTTGCAAAGTCATTTAACAAAGTACAACATTATGTTGTATAGTCAGCATGGTTTCAATCTTGCCCTACTAATCTTCTGATATTCTTTGAAGGTATGGGTGTAGATTTGTTGTATCTGGGTTTTCAGAAAGCATTTGACAAGGTGCCACATAAAAGGCTTGTTGAAAAAGTTCTCTGTAAATGTTTGGAACAGGTTGGCTGATCATATAGAAAATTGAGAAAATGTAAAAAAGCAGGGATTAGTTGAAAATAGAGTTCAATCAAACTACATTATTGTCACAAGTTGAGTACCACAGGGCTCAGTTAGGATATTTGGTCTTTTTGATCTACATAATTATTTGTTTGTAATTAAGCACAAAGCTAAACAATGGGCTATTTGTGCTCTGCCCACCACGAGTATCAAAACTCGGATTCTAGCATTGTCAGTCCGCAGACATACCGTTGTGCCACTGGGGGGCAATTTACATAGATCAAGGAAGGGTCAACAGATTATTTAAATTTGCTGTTGACATTAAAGTTTTTGGTGTTGCTGGCTGCGAGGAGAATGCTGTTGCTTTAAAGGCTTTGGATTATTTGGCAAGTTGGAAAAATAAATGGCAGATGGCTTTTAATTATAATAAATACAAGGTAGTGCATGTGGAATATCATATTTTGAATGGAAATAACTTTAACAGCATTATTGAAGAAAAAGATCTCAGTGTTCTGGTGCATCAGTTTCCTAAACCATTCAAGCAATGTACTGTTGCTAATAGCAGGGCAAATAGAATTTTAGGTTGTATCTAAAGAAATACTGAAAATAAGTCTAAAGAGGTTGCAATATCATTGTACAAGTCATTGGCTAGGCCACATTTGGAGTATTCTGTTCAGTATTGGGATCCTTATCTTAGAAAGAACATTGAATAGTTGGAAAGAGTTCAGAGGAGGGTTGTCATATAAGGAAAAATCAAGATCTATGAACTTGTTTTTCCTTAAGAAAAAAAAAGTTAGAGAGGAACTGATTGAGGTGTTTAAGATTGTTAAAGGAATTGACAGTGTTTATTCCTCATCTTTTTTGGTACTTAATGATGAGAATGAAAAGGCTAGGAAACACAAGTATGAATAAATTTTGGCAGAGTAGGAGTCATTTTCATTTCAGCTAAGACAGCTTTATAGTTTATTTTTCTAACACTAGTTACAGGATAGTTGTCCTTTGGAACGGGTTGCCTTCAGTCTCAGATGTGGTAGATACAGTTAATTTGAAACCTTGATAAATATTTAAATGATAAGGGCTGGCTTTGCATTTTTTGTTTCATTTAATTTACTGGATAGGACAGCCAAAAGTAGATGGACCAAAGGTAACCTTTTAATTAGTTTTATTATGGTGCTGTTAGATTCTTTCAAATTAAATGTTACTTCACTCACGTTACTGTTTACATCAAGTTAGTTGCTTCAACAAAAAATAAAATAAACACACAAATATTAAAATACACATACGAAAGTTTTTGAAGTCCTACCTTTGACTACTTTCAATGGGTAACTATCCAACACCTGAAGCCGGTCCAAATACCGCTCTTAAAACAAGAGATAATCACTTTTTTCTATCGATCCAGCACACTTATTACAGGGCGCGGCAACGAAGTCGGAATGAAGCGGCTATTACGTTATGAAAATACCATCCCTCACTAATTCAACATAAGCATATTTTTAGGTTACAAAGCAAGTCTTAGCAAGATAGTATTTTTCATTTAAAAAAACAAATTTAATTGACTTTACAGGAAATTATAAATATAAATGACATTTTTTAAATTACTTATTTCAGTGTATTATTTCAAAAAGGGGGAGGTTATATAGTAGATGTACCTTTTCAACTGTCGGATTATTCAGTGTTTACTATTAATAATTAATAATAATAATAAAACTATTTATATTTCTATAAATATTTTCAAATTACACGATATACAACTTTATATAAAAATAGAGTGTTAATATAAAAAATATTGCAGGGTATTTGTTAAACTCGTATTTATTGGAAATCCTTTAACACTACCCAAAATGCAATAGGAAAGACTTTTGCGCATTTAACCACGTGACATGCGCCATATTGTTGGGTTCCACGTCGTAAAATATAACGTTAGTAACCAAACTGAAAAGTATAGTAAGGATACTAAGATTCATATGTACTTATTTCTAAAGATCCATTTCTGGTTATTTTATTATAGGTGTCTTTTTGGAAAATAGTTTTAGAATCTGAGTGAAAAATGCCGACTTATTTTCAAAGACCTGAAAATGCTCTTAAAAGAGCAAATGGTAAGTTCTTTTTTTTTAAATGTGTAACGTCTACACTGCTACTTATTAATTATTAGGCTATAACTATAAGATTAACAGTATAAGTATAACTTAAGTTACAAGTGTTTATTATACTTTATAATATTATATTACTATTAGTATTAGTTAGATACATATAACAAAGATTAATTTGACATGCCAAAAAAATGTGAGCTCTACAAGTACTAGTAATACTAAATTACTGTTTAGTATTTATATTACTGAACACCGAAATGTAATATGTGCAATGATCTTCGGATATCAAATTTCATATAATTTTTAATGATTATGTAGGATTCTACAATGAACAATGAGATTTCTAAGATTGATAAATAATTTAACCCATCAAGATAACATCCCTTATCATTTCAAATAATGTTATTTCATTACAGGCTAGCATGTCCTGGTGGTTAAAGTGCTTAACTCACAATCTGTTGGTTGTAGGATTGAAAATTGACCCTAAACATGCTTGACCTTTCAGCCATCAGGTGATGATGACAAAACCTTGTCCAAATGTTGTACATTTACTGTTTTGTTAAACTTATAGTAAAGTTTATCTTCATTACCCATTCAAGCCATCTCTAAGCATTACAATTCCACTATTTGTTTGCAAAGATTAGCCCAAAAGGCAGCATTGGTTGGTGTTGACTTGCTGCCTTCCATGTAAGCTATCACTTCAAAATTCGGGATAATCCTGAAGTAACTTTTTGCAAAAATTTACCATTTCACTAGTTAGTGGTTGTTTTTGTAAATACAGCTTTTGTGTAACCAAGCTTCTGGGATTATTGTTAGAGCATGAATGAAGGCATCCGTGTTCAATTTATCAGATTCAAGATTATGTGACACATCTTGGTCTTTTTCATATTCAAGCATAGAAAACGTTTTGTCAATATAATATGGTGCCACTCAAAGGGTTAATTAGAGAGTTGGAAACTTGTAGAATAGGAGAAGCTACTAAGAAGTTTTGCAATTGAAATTACCATTTAATTTTAAGGTTCGGGAAAAATGGGTGCTTATGTGATTGGAAGAACATAAGCTTAGGGGAATTTGAAGTTTTCCCTTGCCATCAGCCAAAGCAAAAGACATCATATAAATAATCATGCACCTTGATAGAAATAGCTTCTGCTCTAATAACCATAGCAAATATAGAAATTTAGTTTTAAGATTATAACCATAATATATATAGATTGATGTTTTAATTTTCAAAATAAAATACACACTACATACAGACACACTTGTGTATATACACATAAATAACAACAATGTACAAAATGCACAAGATAATAAAAAGAAAATATCAAACTCATTGGAATTATCCAATACAGAGGAAATAGAGGAAAGCAGCTTATAAGAAAATGAAACAAACTCATAAACAACATATATATTGAAAACAAGTTTGCACAAAAAGTCTGGACTAAAAATGAAGGAATTACAACAATAAAGACTACACAAGTGAATTTATCTGTAATTAACTGTGAACCTGTGTATATATATATATATGAGTTTCTACAAAAAGTCTGAACTAAAATTGAAGGATTTGCCAAACAAACTTTACAATAAAGAAGACTGCATAAATGGATTTACCTGTAATGAACTATGAACACATGCACACGCATATATATATATATATATATATATTGGTGAAACTAGTATAAATCTAAAAAAGATTTAATAAGCATTTGAAAGGGCTGTAATATGTTGATGAACACGTTAAAACAACTTGCCTATGAAGTACAGAACATAAAGGTGCTGCGTAAAGAATAAGATGTACACAATTGAAAAATAATGGTGTTATTATTAATAAAAAAGACAAAACTAATAGAAATACTTGTATATCATTTACCTTTACAGAACACCCCTCCATCACATGCTACTTCTGTTCACACAGTTAAAAGTCTAAGGGTCTAAATTACTTTCTATTTTCTTTTTTTACCAACTGAGGAAACTGCTGAAGAAGTGAAGTGTCTTGGCTCATAATTTCAGTTAGTTGAGAGAGGCTGAAGTATTTCAAAAGTGTGTGTATTAGGCTTATTATATATGTAATGGAGCTTCCAAACAATGATGAAATAATATAATATATATATATATATATATATATATATCATCATTAATACTTAGGTTACTGAGATACATTGGAGGATTTGAATGATATCACATATGATGCTATGATAAATTAAAAAAAAATTGGTCAAATTTTTACCATGTAATTTTTGCTTCCATATTATAAATATATAGAATCATACAGTATTAAAAAAAAGTAGGTACAGTTGTAGCTTGCTACTTTACTTATGTAAGTTAGTGTTTAGAAACTGATTTTTGAATGAATGTCAATAAATTGCTCGTACCATATATTTCATACTTTTATTTTACACAGTTGAATTTTGTGTAACTGTGTAAAATACAATTTTGTGATTTGGATCTTTTCCTCTTATTTTTGCGCACATACATTTCCATGTATTACATAGTTGTAACATCATTGGAGTCAAAAGCATTTACAAAAAATCAATTTGTGATAGCTACCTATTACACTTGTGAATTGTTTATCATCAGGACCATCTGAAGGCTTAACATGAAAGTAATTTTTCATGAATTCTTTCCAAAAACAGTAGAAGTCTCAGTAATATATTTCTAAAGATAATTTGCAAATATATGAAGTGAATATAACATAAGCAATTGTAATACTGTTAAAACCAGAACATTTATACCTATTATGCATGCATGAAAACTCAAACCAACAAATCATCTAAAATCTTTTCCATTAACATAAAATATCAGTTACTATTTCTGACACTTGTGTAATTTTCAAATATTGAAAAAGCAGGGTGTGAAGTTAACATGTGCCTAATAATTATTTGCTTCTAAAAGCCTTGTTTGAGCTGAGGCATGTGTAAGTTAAAAAGATGTGGGATGGAAGATATCACGGAGATCATCACATAGTAGATGAAACAACATTGTCATTTCTAGGCAGTAGGAAGGGCGGGTGTACTCATAAATGTTAATCACAATTTTTTTATTTTCATACCATAAACATATGATTTCATCTATTAACTTATAAATCATTTGGCTGATTACTACAAAGTTGCCAAAACACATTGTCTAAAAGGGATTGATATCCTTGCAGGAAATATACAGAAAGTTAATGCAACTTGCAGGTCTGTGCTATGTTAAGCAGCTTACATTGTCCAATGCTAGTTATTAAAAAAAAAATTGTTTCTTTATATATGGAAACAACTCTTATAACTTGCTCATAATTAATCCTTCTAGGTCTGAATCTAGTATAAACGTAAAATTAATCCAAAAAATGTCATTACTTTCCATTTTACTAGATATAGACTTAGACCAGCTGATTCTTATGATATTTGCACACTATATTTTTCTTTATATTATTATTTCAAGACTTACCAGCTACAAATATATTTATAAAACCATTAAAATGTTCAAATTCCAAATGCTGTAAATAATTACTCAACAATATTTAATCTATTTAATAAATAATTATATTAAATTTTGGAAGTATACATATATCAAAAGATGCTATAAATTGGTACAGTATCATTAGCAGTCGATGTGTTC